AAAAAGGACAGGTTTAATAGTAGGTATAGCTCCTCTGCCCTTCTCTTCTCTGTGTTGACACATCCAAAAGGCTTAAGGATATGAACAAAGTAGGTCAAAGAAACCTGAATAACTTAGTGAGACTGATAAATTTGTGAAAATCATCCTCTTTATGAACACTAGACTGTTCTATAAGAAAGATACAGCAAGAAAATATCTTTCTACAACATCTCTCTGACAAGGGCAGTCAGAAGACTCCAGGGTGAAAGAAAGCCAAAACATTTAACTTCCTAGAAACTCCAAAGGGGGATGGAAGCAGCAATCACAGCTCTGCATTTCACAGTAGAAACACCTTCAGTGTTCTTGACCTCCTAGCTAGAAGGTCTTACTTTTACCTTAAAAGTATCTGGGAGATTTTTCTGAATCCTTCTGGGATCCTTTGGAAAGGAATTTACATTTTTTTTTTTTTTTTTTAATCCAATAGTTTCTATGCAGCTGTATCTGGGGCCTGATATCAGATCCCACTGACCTTTCTTTAAAAAAAGGAAAAAAAAAATATTTTATATGTTAGGGGATAAAAAGGGAAGGAGGTAGACACTCTCCTGTTGAACTTTCACCAGCTTCAGAGAAAATGACAAGACTCAGAGATATCCTCATTCTCTGCTCTGGTTCAATTTGCTGAGAATAATTACATTCTCTTCCCTAGAGTAACTCTGAAGGCAAATGGAAGAAAGGTAACGCTTCTTCAGAAAGAGGAAACATTTAGAGTCCTGATGATATAAATTGAAAAGGTTTTTTACCATTTTTCCCCTTCTCTACAATGTAAAACATTTTTAGGTTGAAAATGAAAAAAATGTCAACATTGGTTACTCAAGCTACAGGTCACCCACGGCTTCTTGGACACACTACTTGGGCTAAACTCTACACACTATTCACAATATGCACAACTTGGGCTTTTTAGAATTTTTTAATGACAGATTATTCATATTCCCCACTTAATTCATTGCCCTCTAATAATAAATTTGTGGCACTTCAGCTCATAAATGGAGTAATATTAGAAAACAAAAACAAACTAACAAAAAAACACCACCACTCGTACTTCACCACAAATATGCCAAGCATAAGGCAAATTCAGTTTCTGGATCTGTTATCAAGTAACATTTCACAGAGTCAAGAGATGAAATTTTGTCTCAAGAAAAGAAATAAAAAAGAAGGAACAGATGCAGCTTGCAGTCTGGCACAGTGTACAGCACATGACAAAGTTTGGAAAGAAAAGCCTGTAGCTCCTTTTTTACCTCAGCAAGACAAAATGTACAAATACCTGTAATACCCTCCCCATTTGGGGGCCAATAAAGCAACTGTTAATGTATATGGTACTATAAAATGTTTAACAGTAAAATACATCCATTTGGCTTTCCCTAGAAATTTGTATTTTTGGATCTGGTGCCAAATCATCTGTGTAATTTCTCAGTTCAGCCATATTAAGAGATGCTTTATACCTTCTGAAATATCACTCTACTGCTCTGATTTAATAAATGTAATCCTCTCCCTCCACACCCTCAACTAACATGAAGCATACGGAAAATACATTACACTAGAATTTCTCAAAGAATTATTTTCTCCTTCAAATACCAGTCACAGACTGCACTGTGCTCCTTACGTGCACAACATATTGCCTTAAATCCATTCTGAGGAAAAAAAATCAAAGTTAGTCCTGTTGGGAGTCCACTACAGTTACTGAGAACTCTGTTGGGGGGTTGAGAGGTTTTTTTGTTGTCTTTTTTTTTTTTTTTTTTCCAGAATAGATGCAATACATGTTGGAAGAACTGAATATTTCTAAGTACCTTTATAGTATCTTTGCTAGATACCTTTCAAGACAATCCTTTAAAATGTACGACTTTGACACCTAAGCCTAGGGCTACCCACTAGGAGACAGGATCAACACTGAAGAGATAGTGTCCTTGCACTTAAACAAAAGAATCTCCAAAATTCAGACACTCATCTAGTTTTCTGACATTTGTTTCACCCAGCTTTAAGTTTTGCTTCAAATGACAATTGCAAGCTCTCTGGAATTTGTCTCTCTTATGTATGTGTGTTACACTGTTACATCACTGAGGTAGGATGGACTCTGTGGCACACCTATAGTGAGAAGTAATCATTGTATGTCCAAAACAAAAGATTAACTTAACCTGAATGATCAAGCACTGAAGAAGGAACACATTGGGAGCTCATTTTCCACGTTATGGGTTTCAGCACTCATAATTGTTTTCTTCCTCATCCTTCCCAGCATTACCAGTTACTTATATTCATGCAATGAAAAAAAAAAAAAAAAAAAATCTTCTGGCAATAGATCCAGTGCAGAATTGTGTATAAATCAAAATTCAATTGTTTTAGTATCTGAAGTCAATAAATTTCACACAGAGGAGAGAAGCTATATGCAGAAGGAACACACTCTGCCATCACAGTCAGCCAATCAAGCTAGCCTAACATAAACGAAAATCCCCACAGAGTTAGAGGCTGAAGAGCTATTTGGAACTACAATGTGGCCATCTACTCCTACCTTTGCTACAACGCAGCCAGATAAGGTATTATTCTGTATCTTTAAAAGACCTTCCTATTGTGTTAATTCAGCTGAGCTTTAGGAAGCGTGAGAGAGGAATCACAGACACCTGCCCATCCTGACAGAGCACAATGCTTTCTGCCATGAGTAGTCCCAGAGAAGTCACGCAGCATGCCAGGTACAAAGTATTTGCAGAAGTGAGCCTTCAGACAGCACTATAAAAGCTGTGGGTTAAGGAAGCACACGCCAACTTGCTTCTGCTTGATCTGTTACACAGCTTGACAGTAACAGATAGCCAGTTGCATTAGTGTCAATGTTCAGATAAGTTTCTCTCAATATCTGTCACAAAAAACAGACGTGGTATCAGTGTGCCAGCTGTATTATCGGTCACTACATAGTTGATCATATTTAATAACATCCTCGAGCACAGACACAGCTAACAAGTGCCACAGAGGGCAATGACTACCGTGCGCCACAGTCACCCAGCTCCTTCTGACTCGCGGCTGCCAACAGCGCACGTTCGGCAAGTGCCTGCCTCCCATTTTCTCCCTCTCAAACACATTAACTTGCCTCAATACGGAGACAGAGTTTGTTTTGAAACTCTTAACAGGATCACTGAAAGAAAAGAGGAAAAATACTATAAAAGATCCTCTGGACTGTTTCCAGAACCATGTATTTTCTTAGCGATTGCTTTGGAAGCAAGCCAAAAACGGGAAGTGTTCTTGTAAATGAGCACGCTACCATATTGAAGTACAAGTTATCATTTCATTCTTTTTGTCAACATCATCACGGTTAGAAATTAAGAAGCTTGTTTAGTAAACAGGTTACTTGAATTCCAGTTACCAAACACTGATTTCTTCTCTATCCACGCCCACCAGTCAGTCAGCTCCTGTCCCACATCCCCTTTGCAAAGTATACCGCTTTCCTTTTTTGGATACTTTCTCTTTTTTACTGAATGTCTCATAAAATTAGTATATTAATTACATCAACCATGACTAGGTCTGTAATCAAGAGCAAGTTAACTAAGGAAAAAAGTCGGTCACTCAAAAAACAATTCAAAAACCTCAAAACACACTTCTACGGAACACTGTGCTTAATATTTTTAACAGAGCTTTGTAACAGTATACTGAATGGTTTCATGGGGGCAGTTTTTCACATTAGAATTATTCCTAATGAGATCACCCTCCACCTTGTATAAGCCCTCATCCCTTCCCAGCAGAACAATGGAAGATTTGTGCAAGTCTACAAAGGCGTCAGATCAACTCCACTCACTTCACCTTGTACCACATTTTCTCACAACAACTCATCAAGAACACAATCGTGTTTTTCCCTGAGGACAAATTAAAGGGACTCACTTTGTTTTAAGGTATCCCAAATCCTCTACAGATTTTGAAGTCCTCACACAGACTTTTCAGTCAGTGACCACTACCAGCTTTGGTTTCGAATTTCTGTAGGTTTCTCCTCTTCGCAGATTTGTGGTTTTTTTTTCCCAGTTTTTGACTTACAACATTTCTCACCAACAAATGTCTGCCTATCTTGTAATTAAAATGTGCTGATACATACAATTCCATGTATGATCTTATGATAAAAATAATGACTTTGTGTTAAATGTCCACAAAAATACCTGCCTTCAAAAAAGCTATGCTCTTATTTTACTGTTAGCAAAGACAATGACATATCTTTCTCACACTAAGCAGAAATGTCTTGCACATATAGCCCCAGTAACAGCAATGCTAAGAGTAAGTATCATTCTAAAAATAAGGATGACTGAATCAGTCCGAATTAGGAAGTACAAGGCAGTAGTCTCTAATTTGCTGGTATTTAAGTTAATCACCATGATCCCATGGGAAGCCAAAAGTTTAGAGTTCTTTTCATGCAAAAAGATACTGTAGAAAGGAAAACACACTTGATTCTGAAAATTTTATTTTGTTTTAAAGATCTATTTTGTGTTTGAAGTTTTACACACAAGACACAAAATATCCCCATTTTTATTGTGTGTGTATTCTTCCCATTACTAACCGCGCCTTGTACTAAGTTTACTTCCTCAGTTTTCGCTTTCTTATGTCACAGATCACATGAAAGAACAAATTCTTAACTACTCATATCCAAGACTATTAATACAATGTTCTGTGATAGGTACAACTTGCTCAGCATTACCAAGAGCTATAAGGAGCACCACCTTAAGCAGTTTAAAATGTTAGTCCTGCATCTATATTTACACCTTATAAAACTTCAACTTTTCTTGTTTAAATTTTAAACTGCAGTATGCAACCCCCTGATTTCCATATCCAGAAGGGCTGACTGCTTTACACGAGCCACTGTGAGGTTCACAGACTGAGGATCCAGAAATGTTAAAGCAGACCAACGACATATTTCTCTTGCAACAAAAAAAATAATAAAAATGAGCTGGTAGAACATGACCTATAATGTATATATTACAGCAAGATGTACATTTACTTACGTTCACAGGTGTCTCCTTTTTGCTGGTATCCTGCTTTGCAGATACATTTTCCAATAGGCACTAACCATTCTCCCTCAGCACTACAGTGCATCTTCGGCGAGTTCTCTGCCTCCTCTTCTGCACTGCTGACGCATGTTCCTCGTACTTCAACTAAAGAGGAAAACTCTGAGCCAGTCACTGTGTCAGGAAAAATAGCTAAGTTCTCAATGATGGACCAGCACTTCTTGTAGTAGACTTTGACAGAGACCAAAGCAATGCAGGCCCCTACATCCTGAAATGCAAGATAGAATCCTTTTTTGGACAAAGGCCCAATTTCTCTCACCTCTGTGTTAAGTTTCATTTTTCTCTCCCCAAGATCACCCTGGGTAAAACTTTCATCTGCTGCAATAGTGTCAATTTTTACATATTGGTTTTCTCGGATATTCCTGCCAGTGTCGTAGTCTGTTTCATAATAATACAAGTTAAAAGTTTCTTTACAAGTCCCCAGAACTCCAGGAAGACTGTTACAATCCCTCAGAGTGAATTTCAGTTCTACAAAAATCCTTTGTGCATTGCTTTTTGCAATCCAGTTAGTCCGAAGCCAGTTGTTTTGGTTTGATTCCATCACCTGGCATACCTGGTATGTTCGTATAGGAGTGTAGTTTTCATCCAGTCCACTAATTTCTTCCCACTAAAACAATAACAAAAAGTTAGTAATACAAAACAAGTATACCACCAGATGTAACTACTGTGTCTATTTTAAAAGGCTTCACACAACTCAAGCCCCCCTCCTTTTAAACAGTATGGCTTCATAAAAAGTAGATTGTTGTTAAAATATGCTTAAGCACCTAAATAAAGAAAACACATATTCATGCAGCTGCAGGCTCTCTTCCCCTCCATGTTTTTCCCACATATAAATAACTTCTAAAAAATCATTGTCATATCATGGGCACAGTTGTAAAAGGAAAGCACCAGAGAAGGCTGTTCAGTGTACCAAGTTCTGATTACACACTGGGTAATTTCATTTCATTAAACACATTTCATTAAGGTCATGACAGTTTTGGTTAAGCAAAGACCAAAAGGAGGGTGGCAGCTTCGCTTCCAGAGAAAATTAAAGTCAGTGAAACCTTAGAAACCGAAATTGCCTAGTGTTACAGTACATAAAACTTGTATACAAAAAACTTCCAGTGGAACTTTCATTTGTACAGAAAGCAGGGAACTGGGTCCTGAAACTTTTGAGTGGGACAATTTTCACTCCTGTATGATGAAACTGGCATAGAGAGAGAGGGCAAGAGAAAATAGACAATTAAAAATCTGAAAGCAAGAAAACATTTTGGATGTTCCATTTTTGTTCATTCTCTCTTCTATTCTACTTACAAAAACAAAGGAGGTAAGCGGGAGCTCCTCACCTCACATTTTGTTCAGTGGCTGCATCCACGTTAAAAGGTTGGTTGGGAGTTCAAATGAACCATGAGATTACATACGTAATTAAGAACAACCTACATGACTGAACATTCACCAGTTCAAAGCCTGGGTTTTGTTGTTGTTCCCTCTTCAGGACACCAACTGTATAACAAACTGGGAAGCCTGTAACAGCCCCTTAAGCCTTTAACAGCCTTTGGCAGCGTGGGAATTTGCACCTCTGGCAATGACAAACTTTCCACTGAAATCAACCAGGTGAACCTGCCCAGGTGTAAACAAACCAGTACCTGCCTCTCACCTTTTTTTCACATTTCATGTAACATTTAATTGACTGCAGAAACCGCAGCTGTAATAAATTAGGGGGGGGAGGTTGAGCTATCCTCACCCAATGGTATAGACAACCATGACTTCTCCGTATGGCACTTAGCCCTCTGGCCCTGTGTCAATAATGCACTTAAGCTCATGCTTAAGATCAGTGACAGTACTTACAAGCTTAATGGTAAGCATGTGCTTAAGTGCTTTGTGGGACTAGCACAGGCACCTCTGCAGGATGGAGCATCCACTGATACTCCTTACACCAGTAACCGAGCGTGGAAGGCATTGGTTTTCTACACTAGGAGCCACGGAGTATACAGTACTTTGCAAGCCAATATTTGACAGCAAATGAGATCATTTTAACATTGGTGTATTGCTCCAAGAAAAAAAACAGATGTGGCTGAATTGATGTTGGAAGTTACCACCACAAAATATATCACATCTGCAGATGCTGAAATGCACAGAAGTTGTAAATATCAAAGAGCATTTCAAAGACCTACAGTTAATATAGATGTGGTGTGTATGGTATTATATATGCATATGGTATTAAATGATTGAACTATATTATTAAGTGCTCATGGAGTTAACTGAACTGATAATACACGGAACTGTATTACCTCAGAACAGAAGGAAGTCTACCTTCATAAGAGATTTATTAGATCTGAACTGAGTAAGAGGTTTTCCCCTCTATAAGAACTAGCAAAAGCAAGGAAAAGAAAAACAAAGAGGACCCGGACTGAAGCTTTTGGGTCTGCCACACTGAAAAACCAAACAATCAAGCAAACAAACAAACAAACAAAAAAATACAGATGACAAAAAAGGCATGAAGCCTAAAATCTTACTGTTTTTTATATTCTCCATTGTACATCAGGTAGTGTTGAGGTGGGTTTTTTTTAATTGGTTTGGGGGTCCTGTTCGCTGTATTTTCTACCTTGTGTAACCAGTACACCCTCAAAACACCAAACCAGAGTCTGCAGTCAGATGTTCCAGTTAAACAATGTATCGTATCTTTGAAGTGAAAATAAATGTAATGCACCACACAACTCCTGGTGTTTTGATGTGGACTGCACCATCAAAATAAATTCCCACTCCAAAAAAAACCAAAACAAACCAAAACAAAAACCCACACAAAAACAAACAAACAAACAAAAAAAAAAAAAAGAAAGCATAAGGAAAAAAATTAAAAATAATGTGCATAACAAACAAAATACATATAACAAAATCAAACCATTTTTAATAATACAACTGGAATGAACCTTCTTGGAGTCAAAAGCCCACTACATGAGGCCAGCTAAGTGTCAGAGAGATTCTTATGCTACAGTCAAGGAAAACAATATGAAACACTAAATTCAGGTAAGAAGTCCTACTTTTCATTGTCCCTAGTATTAATCACTGAAGTCTATCTTTACATATTTTCCCAAAGCCATGGAATATGACTTTCCTAAAAAAACAAGGAAATATGACTTATGATTCAATTATGTAAACAGAAGGATATTATTTAGATCAGTCCATTGCAGGTGTACCTGCTTCTTTGCAGGGAAAAAAAAATACATCAGTACTTCAGGATATGTTTTCACCTATGCTATTTGAGGTCACACTTCATTAAAGTCTTTTTTAAAGTGATCAATTCCCTGACAGCTTATGCAGCAAGAAAATTTAACTTTTCTTTGTCCTGCTGCAACTTGCTGTGATATATATGCAATCCCATTTGATGTGTCCTGTTCTATTGGTTTCAATGTACAGTACTTTAACTTATTAGTTATCTTAAGAATGTTTGAAATCATTGTTAGATGTAACATTTGCAGTTGAATGAGGCATTTAATGAGTGTCTGGCTGATACATTTCATACTATGATGATGCAGTAGTTTCCCTGAAGATTTTCTGTGTTTATTCCCATGAAGTGTTTATTGCAGAGTAGAAAATTCAGTAAGGAAAATTTTTAAAAAAATTATTTCAAAAATTGCATTATTTAAATGGTACTTTTATGTTAATTTACAGGCAACTATTTCTGAACATTTTCATGCATCAGTTTTGATTCACTTTTAATTCCTGATTGAAATTGGCTTCTACCTCTGAAAGTCACCTTTTACTATTTGTTGAATTTGACTCTACTTTCATCTTTCGGTATGCTGACATGTGTAACATGTGTTGACATGTCTTTCATTATCTACAGGTTAACCTAATATAATTGCCACCATGGTAATCTTTCAAACACCTCTGGTAAAGGCTTCAATCTGTGCGAAACATTAATGCTGAGGTTATGAGCCATCATATGCACTGAGCTCACATTACATTCCTTCTGAAGTCCTTAGATTCATTTCCAGTTTATGCTTGTATTGATTTTATGATCTTGCTCTTAAAGAAAGACACTTTCAGATTTTCATTCTTCTTATTTAAAGGATTTGTTACACTTTTATATCCCCACTCACACTTCACGCTTTTCTGGCTCCAGATTGCCTAATGCGCTGAAGATTAAGGGTCTGATCTCCCAAGTCCTTGTTCATGCAAGGAGTTGCAATGGATACAGCAAGGCTGCTTCCATGAGAAAGAACTGTCCATATAATTTATGATTTGTCAGACCGACTTAAGGTAGGACTGAGTTAAGGTAGGACAATATATATCTCCATTAGATCTTTCTGAAAACGTTCTTCCTCTAGCCTTGAGAAAGAAGGGTTTTTCTATAAAATTTAATTCATACTGAAAGCAGCATCTCCTTAACTTTACATAGATAATAAATAAAACAAGAGCACAGATGTTTCTAAACTTCTCATTTTTTATAATCATGTACTTCACAATCGTACATTCATGGAGTACCATGAGATTAATTTGCAACCAAGATGAAGGTGGCCCTTAACCACATAAATTGTGCCCAGTTGCAGATATCAAGCTCCCCAAGACTTAGGGATGTTTCAAGTTTGAAATGTCATTTCAAACACATCTGCAGTATAAATGTTTTTATTTTAGAGTACTTCAGTCTGTGCTATTCAATTACAAAGAAAACATCGTAAACAAATTTATGATCACCCATTATACAGAAAATGAAAACCATATTTTTAGAAAGTTTCTACACAAAACTAAATCTTCTGTTTCTAAAGGAAGAAAGACAAAGTGATTTAAAATACTGTATTATAAATATACAGAGCTTTCTGGTACAGCAGAAAAGATTACACTGCAAAATATAGCTATTGAGAACATTTAGGTGAGTTTCTAAAGAGACTCTCTTTTAATCAGCTTGTACATTTGTACACTGTAACTGAGGTATACTTCCTTCTATTCTAAAAATGAAAAAGCCATAAACAGTTTGATTACTGAGAGAAATATAAGGGGAAGCTAGTTTAAAGCAAGTCTTTCAGTTTGGTAAAATAACTACTCATCTTTAGCAGCTTAATTTTTGCCTGGAGTACTTACCCCATTGGGAGGAGAGGAAATCCATTCCAACTCTGTCTGTTGTGCTTTAGAGTCCAGCAATATTACTAAAAAAGGAAAAAAAAAAAAAAAAAAAAAACACAAGAAAAAAAAACCATCACTGCTTGTTAAAAATAAGTGGGAATACAAAACCAAAGAACCAAGTCTGAATAAAAAGAAGTGATAAAAAGAATATTATTTTTGTACAAATTAATATTGTTCTACATGATATTAAAAAAATTGTGACCACAACTACGCATTTAACTGTAAATAGATAATTAATGTATTATGTACCATCCACATATAAGATATACTTTAATCTTAACAATTTCCTTGCTCAAGTCAAAGTGCACTGTTTTCCTTACTGCTCTAAAGTGTTACTAATCAGTCATTAAGATGCATGCTTCCTTTACCTCTTTTGTCATAAGAACATTTCCCATATGCTAGTTATTACAGTCAGCTTAAAACAAACACGTACACAGCAACATTTCAACACTTTTCAAAACTGATTTAGAAAGGAGTAGTCTACACCTTACCAGGACCTGCACTCAAATAGCATTGGTATTTTTGAGTTGGAAAGAAAAAAAAAAAAAAATGTCCCCTAGGTGATAATGCAGTCGTTCTACAAACAAATGACAACGGGGAATACAGAAAATAAAAGACTCTGTGATTACCTCACACTTTGCATACACAAAATACTACATACACAAAATCAGACTAATTCACTTTATGGTAATGGCTTCCTAAAATCTTCATGTCATTATGCTCCAGTGACATTTCTACACAAAAAGACATCACTTCTTGTAGCACCACAATTATTTTCAGCCAGATGTAACCCTGGCTCCAAAAGCCGTTAATCACAGCCTAATAAAAAAACTCTTACATATTTTACAGTACATATTGGAGGTTACATTACTGATGTTCTGTTACCTCTAAACATACGTTTCTATATGTGTCTTGTATTTATGTTATAGTTTTAAGCTTCTTAGTAAATTCTGTTTCTGTAAGACTTTCAAATGGTACATGTTAATCTGTGATAAAAAAGAAAAAAGGCTAAATAATATTCTGTAATACCTCCTTTCAGGCAGCTAAACAGCCAAAGTTATAGAGTGATCAACCATAAATCTAGGTTGGGTACACTTTGAAGATTGCCTTCTTCAAAGCTGCACATTTAACTTCATAGTTGTATTTGATGAAACATTTCTAATTTAAATCTATTCAGTATATTTTTAGCTATTAATCTATTTATAACTTTACACAGAGCTTTAAGTGCTGACAATTCAATGCATTATTTAAGGCTGTAACTTGAAGCAAGTTCTATTAGGTGTTTTGAAATTGTTATAATTCTGGCTTTGGCCCTTTCTCCTAGTAGAATTTAACACAATATTTTAGTGAATTACTAGAAAGATGAGATGACTAAAGGAGTTATTTAAAGGTTTATATAGTAATATCTGGAATGTCAGCTGAACACAGAATGGTAGCTTCCAGGCCTATATTTCATTAATAAAGTGGAACTACTCATTAAGGAAGTTTGATAGTCTTTCTCTAGAAAGATTATCTGCTTATTTCATTACGCCTGGATTCAAGAGGCTTTACTTGGTAACACTTTCTATAGAAAAGCAGGTGGTGTCTGTGGTGGTTTGTTGAACGAGAACATTTATAATGGTCCTGGAATAAAGGTACCACGAAAAATTTAACCACTTCGGCACCAGCACAACCTCCCACGGATGCAATTCTTTATGCTGTTTATTTGGCAGCAATTCTCCATCCCACAGCAACGGATGGGCACATCCCAGAAAGAAAAGACAACAAACAAACAGAAACCCCATCTCTGCAAACATCCCTCGCACAGAAAACTTGCCGTTTCCGTGTGACACCGAAAGTTCCTGGGGAAGAGCTTCCCAGGCCAGCGGCCGGTGCGCTACTCCCAGCCCGGGCTGC